AGAGATTTCTCTTCTACTCTTACCTCAGCAGCAACGGCTTTACCTGTGTCCTTTGGGCATGTCTTTGTTGATCTTTTCTTGTTGACTTAAGGCTTTTAACAGGAGAAATGAATCCACGTGCATAGTATTTTGCACCTGAACACCCACAGCCGCCTGTAACACCAATGTGGGGGGCTCTTTCTGGTCTCTCGTGCAGTCCTCGGCCTTTGTGATGAGTACCCCATATACATCCACAGGAATAGAGCTCGTGAGTGTAAACTCCCCTCCTGTTTGTGCTTCCAGCCATCTCAGGCTGACACGTCAGGCCTCACCTGTACACTCTCATCTCATAATTTTAATTGACCGTTGCAGCACATCCCATCTTTACATAGGGCACTACTGCATCCATAAAGTTTGAGTCTGAGTTCTGTAGAACACTGCTCTAACCACACTGCAGAGCCATGAAAATCCTTTGCCTCACCCTCAGTCCCATGCTCTACCCTGGATTCTGGGCCCTTTGCTATAGAGCTCTACAGAAAAAATTAGTCCGTTCGCTTACCAGACATGACCTCCCTATGCCAAACTAATCTGTTTCACAATTTTTTGAAGCTCTACAAAGTTTCTAGTACATGGATGGTGCCTTTTCTACTTCCCAAAGCTATCTCAAACTCAAAAAGAAAAACAGACTCTTTGATAATTTAAATAGGATCCAGGAAGGAAAAGAAGGAAAATATTAATTTAAATCAATATATTGAAATGAGACTGACTGTTGAGTTATAATTATATATTTCTTTTTCTTTATTTTTCTTATTTGCCAGAGGGCATGTGTGCTCACCAGAGACAGAGGGAGAAGGGCACTCCCAACTGGGGCATGATTATGCCCCCATTTCTCTCCTCCACTGCTTCATCCTGCTGGGATCTGGGGCACATATGCACAGGTACCCAGTGTGTTTTTCAAGCTGCTGGGGCTGGGATTTGATCCATGGTCAGCTATGTGGGATCCAACTCCCTTAACCGCTAGGCAATGGGGCTGGCCCCACTAGTCTATCTTTACCCAGTCCCTTTTATAGTCAACAGAAGCACAGGAGTAGAAAGGAAAAAAGACGGAAGGTTCTGCTCCTGGCTGTGTCCAAACAATTCTATGACTGAGGCAGGTCTGTAACCCTCCCTTTCTTACTTATGAGTAGTAAACATGGTACATGCAAAATTGGTTCAGATATATAAAGCATGCTATAGACCACACCTGACCAGCCAACATCCTACATCAGATGTTTTCAACACCTACTTGAATACTAGGGTCAAATGGAGAGCTTCTGAGGTGAGAAGGCTATTCCTCACTTACGTGGATCAATTAAATAAGCTCTCTGCAAGGATAACGCAGAGGTTTTATCATTTTTTCAAAGTTTTCCAGGTGATTCTAAGGTGCGGCCAGAGCTGAGAACCATTTACAAACCAAGTTGCACAGTGCCTCCTCTTCCCCCACCCAAATATTCTGTTCCACCTCCACCCTTTCAGCAAACTCTGCACAGCGAGCAAACAGCACCGTTCAAAGGCAACACCTGGTGAGTAGCTGTCACGGTGAATTATGTAGTCCACTGTCCTGCAAATTCACGTGTATCACTCAATTGTACCCGCGAATGGATTCATTTTACCTCACTCATTCTTTATTGTAGAGATATGCTTTTTTTTGTTTGTTTGTTTATTTCTTCCATGAGAGAGAGACAGGCAACCCCACAGGGTCCTGATGCTATAATCACCACCAGTTTTAGCTGGCCCAGATCATCCGTATGCCTGGCTTGCCCAGGGAGGGCCTAGGATACAATTCCAGGATCTTCCCCAGGCAGGTTCAGTTGCATTGCCACTGTGCCACCACCTGGTCCCCAAACTTCTCTTACCCTACTACTCTCTTAACCTTAACAGCTATCTGAGAAGAAATCTTCCTTACTACTTATTTTTAAAAGTCTAATAGCAATATTAGACTAATCATACTCAGTAGAAGCAGTAACTACTATTTACTTACCACTATTGACACTTTATGCCAGGTACCATGGTAAATGTATTGATATTATCACATCTAATGTTTTCTTTTGAGAGATTTTTGCTATAGAGCATGCGCACTTGCTAGAGAGAGAGACAGAGAAACACAGAGACAGAAAGCAAGAAATCACCACCCAGGTGGGATGGCCATGTCACAATCCCTCCTCCTCCATTCTCCTAGGGATTTTGGGCACACATGCACAGCTTAATGAAGTCTTACAAGAATCCTGTGCGATAACTACCAGGTCCTGTTTTGCAGAAGAAGAAACAGAAGACCAAGAAATTAAATAATTCACCCAACATGAAAAAGTTGGTAAGTGTTGAAGGCAGGATTGGAGTCTACTGAGGCTTAATTAGGAGTCTTTAACTTGGTGATAATTTTTAAAAAAAACCAGATCTACAAATATATTGCACTGTCCAATATGGCAGTCACTAGCCACGAGGGGCTTTGAACACTTGAAATGTGGCTGTGTGACTAAGGAACTGAAGTTTTTATTCGTTTGTACTAATTGAAATTGAAATAACCAGCCCAGTTGCAGCAGAGCAGCCAGAAGTATCCTGAACTGCAGTGCTAGAAGCCACCTAGTTAAATATAGGTTCACATCCCTGGCTCAGTGCCCTGCTCCATTAACCTGAAGCATGCTGCATGCACGCGTGTGTCCAAGACCTTAACAAGCTGAGGGCAGGAGGAAGGGGGGGGTCACAGCATGATGGGATCTTGGCGAGGGTCCTTGTCTATCTGGCTCTCTTTTCCTCTCCCTCCCTCATGTGTGTGCACATGCACTCTACCATGAATAAAATACATAAATAAACTGGAAGAGAAAAAAGAAACTGAAATCGCCATGCGTAGCTAGTGCCTAACGGACTTGTGCAACTTTGCTGAACTGAGGTAGTCTGACAGTCTGGTCAGTCTCCAGACAGAGCACAGACACGGCAAAATGTAAAGCGCATTTCGGCAGCATTTACACAGATAACTTGGTCTGTGTACACTTATAAATAATCACAATAGCACTGGGCACCAACAAAAGTTAAGAATCTGTGACTAAGAATTTCCTAGAGGAGCAAATACAACTTCTGAAGGTTCTGTGCTACACGTGAATGCTGCTTTCAATAAGATTATAACCCTGAATTGGACTTAAACTACATACACAAGTTATGTCCAATCTAGGTATACCCAAGCTATCTTCTATCTTCAACTATTTTATAAACTAAGGAGCAAAGGATCACAGTCTAGATTTCCTATGAACTTTAGAAGTTTAAAAAATTACTATCTTTATTCTCATATAACACTTCTACATTAACTGCTGAACATTTTGTATAATTAGTAATGTAATGTTTTTGTTATTAATATTTTGCTTGTTTCTGATTACTAACCTTTTATATATAATGCGATGAATTACAAAGTAGATACATAAATGTTCACGGACTGGAAGAAACAGAAGAAAGACTGAGCCTGTACTGCTTTCTTTTATGTTCATTTTTTTTTATAAATCTAATAAACATCTTGATTGAAGTTTATAATTAAACTGTATTTAATACGAATTCCTTTGTATGGAGCAAGGGAATCCTCAAACTTAGGTAGCGCTACTACTATAATTATGCATTGGTTTCAAACTTAAGTAAATCACTTATCACTGAAAATAGTTAATTTTTTAAAGAGTTTTTTGCATTGGGCAGGTGCACTTGACAAGGAGAGACAGAAACAGTAAGAAGGAAAGTGAGAAATCGTCCCCAAGGGGGGATGGCCACCACCATAATCCTTTCTCCTCCTTTCTCCTCCCAGGATCTTGGGCACACACGTATACGTGCCTGGCATGATTTTCAAGCCACCAAGTCTGGGACTCAAACCACGGTCAGCCATGTGGGAGTCCAGCGACATAACCACTATGTACTGACCCCAATTACAGTTAATTTTAAAAAACTGTCTGTGGCATTAATCTTTATCTTCCTGTACCACTTCCACAATAGAAGCAATGCTCATACCAAGTCTTAAATAATAATTCTGAAAAGGCGAAAAGAAACAACAAAACCTTTGCTTAAAGCCCATCCTTAAATGATATTACCACATATTACAATTAGATTTTACTTTTTAAGTATCTCATTTTTCCAATAATTCCCTGAATCCTAAAACCTTAGATATATAGCATGCATTTTCTTTATTAACAAAGTACAGCTTGGGCCCTAAAATTAAAAAAAATAAAATAAAAAAAGACGCAATTGATTAAACACTAGATGGTAATATCGAAGCAATTCCTCTGTGAGGGTGGTAGAATGGTGATTCTTTCCTCATTTTAAAATAGTTTTCGTTTTTAGTTTGCTAGAGAGTAAGTACACTTACCAGGCACACATACAGAGAGAGGGGAAAAGAGAACCCCCTATGGAGGATGGTCATGCTGCAATCTCCCCTTCTCCACTTCTCCCCTTAGCTGAGCCACCTTCAGGTGATTCTTTTTTTTTTTTTAAAGAGGTTTTTGCTATAGGGCACGTGCACTCGCCAGACAGACAGAGACAGAGAGACAGAAAGCGAGAAATCACCCCCCGGGGAGATGGCCATGCTGCAATCCCTTCTCCTCCATTCTCCTCTCGGGATCTTGGGCACATGAACACACATGCCCGCCGTGAGTTTTAAGCCCCTGGGTCCGGGATGCGAACCGCGGTCAACTACATGGGAGTCTAGCGACATAGCCATTACGCTAACTGCTGGTCCCCCTTTCGGTTATTCTTAACTGCTCATCAGCAAGTACACATTCCAGGTATTACTGCAGAAAATGCTAGTACTGAGTCATGGGATTTACTGCATGATATTCTAACAGAAGATACATGCAGTGTTCTGAAATAAACTATCAAAATATTTTCAACATGATACTTTAACTTTTGCATTTATAAGCTTAAGGAAAATTATCATACAAATATTTGAAACCTTTACCCCCCCCAAAAAAAATCCTAATACCTCCTTATTTTGCCATAAACATAAAGCTGCTTACCATTCATAGCTGTGGGAAACTGAGCCATCATGGTCCTGAGTTTTCCTTGCTAGCTCTCAGCCATCTGCAACATAGAAACATTGTGCTGTTAATAATACAACAAGGGCAACTCTCAGCTTAGTGCACCACTAAGCATAGGAATGTCTGTCCCCTCCAGCTCCCACTTCTCACAGAGAACAGCGCAGAGCTGCTGCTGCTGAATGGGCAGAATTTACATTTGGAGAAGGGTAAGAGCTTTTGTTGGGTGATGGTGCTGCCTTAAAAAATAAAGTCATTTTTTAAAAAAATCACATATTTAATAGCAAACACTGAATACAGAAACTCTTGGCATGAACCAACATTTTTGTAGAAATTAATTTGGGAGAGAAGGATTGTTTTAAGTATGCAAAAATTTATCTCAGAGAAATCAACTGTATAAATTAACTATACAAGGTTAACATGAAAATCCATAATACATTTTTTACAAAATCACCAAGCAAGAACAATATGCAAAATAAATGGGGTGGTTTTTAAGTAAGCTCCATAGATTTTTGTTTTTAAGAGAGATTTTTGCTACAGGGTGCTATAGGGCGCATGTACTCATCAGAGAGAGAAAGTCAGAAATCACCACCCCCCCCCAGGAGGGATGGCCACACCCCAATCTCTTCTCCTCCAGTCTCCTTAAGCTGCTGGGTCCAGGACTTGAACCATAGTTGACTACATGGGAGTCCAGCAATGTTCTTGGCATGAACCAACATTTTTGTAGAAATTAATTTGGGAGAGAAGGATTGTTTTAAGTATGCAAAAATTTATCTCAGAGAAATCAACTGTATAAATTAACTATACAAGGTTAACATGAAAATCCATAATACATTTTTTACAAAATCACCAAGCAAGAACAATATGCAAAATAAATGGGGTGGTTTTTAAGTAAGCTCCATAGATTTTTGTTTTTAAGAGAGATTTTTGCTACAGGGTGCTATAGGGCGCATGTACTCATCAGAGAGAGAAAGTCAGAAATCACCACCCCCCCCCAGGAGGGATGGCCACACCCCAATCTCTTCTCCTCCAGTCTCCTTAAGCTGCTGGGTCCAGGACTTGAACCATAGTTGACTACATGGGAGTCCAGCAATGTAACCATTATGCCATCTGCTGGTCCCAAGCTCCACAGGTTAAGAGTCTAAAAGTAACTATTAAAATAAAAAACATAATTATTTTTATATCATTTCTAAAAATAACTAAATGTGCTAGGTAAGAACCCTGTATTAGTAAGAAAAGAGCCTGGAAATTAACAGCTCTGGGTTCCCTCTTAGCTGCTTTTTTCCTAGCCCTGTCCATGGAAAGGTTATTTCATCTTTTTTTGAGTTTCAGATTCCTCATCTATGAAAATACTTGCCAGAATTGTTTTCTTGTTAAGCATTATACATAATCCAGTACACTACCTGATACACAGATTTCAATAAATAGCTGCTATTTTGCAAACACCTATAGTAGGAAAGGAGAGTGAACATCATTTTGAACCACGAATTTATTATTTAACTGTGAATAAGTTTCAAATGTGTCTCATAAATCTTGAGCACAGGACCAGCTCAAGGGAGTGAGGGCTTAGGGCTTAGCAAATTTACAGAAACGTACTTAATAATTAGAGCCATGGATAACATTACGGGAAAACACTGCTACATTAAAAGACCACTTCGTATCACATTTATTTACCCAATCACTTTAGTATTAGTATTTTTAGAAGCATAAGAAAACTATTTGCACAGGCCATCTGTGCAAAGACAGGCAAAGCAGGCCAAGTCTTACACATCACGGTAACAAGTGTCACAGAGAAGCTGGCTGACCAGCCGCCAAGCAAGGCTACACAGCACCCTCACCGGAGAATTCAAGGTGCTCAAGGACCCAGTCCTCAGCTTTGATGACCCAGAAAGACTGCATAACCACTAACAGTGACTCACACCAACAAAGAAAACTGCTCTCTAAACCCCATTCATTCCTTTGTGAGAGAACTAATGGCTTTTCTTTCTCTAAACTAGTTCATTATTTCATCTATTAACTTTGTTTCAATTGCCAGGGGCACATGTGTTTTTACAAGAGGGCATGTCAGAGACATGGAGGGAGAGGAAGAATGTACCCCCTCCCCCATGGGCATGGGCATTCCACAATCCTTTTTTTTTTGTTTAAAGAATTATTTAATTCGGGACCAAGCAGTTAGCATAATGGCTATGTTGCGGAACTCCCATGTAGTTGACTGCGGTTCGAGTCCTGGACCCAGTGGCTTAAAACTCACGCCGGGCGCGTGTGCGTGTGTGCCCAAGATCCCAGGAGGAGAATGGAGGAGAAGGGATTGCAGCGTGGCCATCCCCCCTGGGGGGTGACTTCTCGCTTTCTGTTTTTCTCTGTCTTTCAGGCGAGTGCATGCGCCCTGTAGCAAAAACCTCTCAAAAAAGAAAAAAAAAAAAGAATTATTTAATTTTACTATTATATATTTTTAATTTGCCATAGGGCATGTATGCTCACCAGAAAGAGAGAGAGAGAGAACATAAGTGAAAAAGCAAGCTGCCAAGTCTGGGACTTGAACTGTGGTAGGTTATATGGGAGTCTAGCGCCTTAGCCACCGCCCCATCTGGTGGCCCTACATCTATTAAATTTTGATTAGATCGTTGTAATTAGAATGAATTATGGCATCAGGCACTGACCGAATACAGTGAGCTACAAAACATGGCTAGCCAGGACTAGGCCATTAGGATGGGTGAGCCTCCACTAAGGCTTAGAATGGCGCTACTCATTCGATTCTTTTGACTCCCGGCTTGTCTATATATTGCTACTATTCCATATATACCATCCTCCCTCTCAGTTTACGCTCTTTCTGTAGGCGTTAATAAGCTTTAATGCAATGGAGCTTTATACCTGTTAGCATATTTGGACCACTTGCCACTATATCTTCCTGGGTGGGAGAAAATTTCCATGTAAAAGTTTTTTTTTTTTCCATTCCTTTCTCAAAAGATAAACTCCAGGTATCAGAGTTATTTATGGTACAGAAAAAAAATGCCGAAACCATGGTGGGGTAGACAGGAACGCCAGAGGAAGTACTGTGTTGAGCCTTAAAGGATGAGTAATTTTTTTTTTAGGACTTGAACTTTCTTTCTTCTTTTTTCTTTTGGACTTGAACTTTCTGACAGAGTTTTAAAGGGCTTTAAGGAGAGCGACATAGTCAGACTTCATTTAAGACAGACAACCTGGGGCTGGCAGGTGGTGCGGTGGTTGAGCGTGCTAGACTCCCACATGGCCAACTGCGATTCCAGTCCTGGACCTGGTGGATTGCTTTCTCATTTTCCCTCACTCTCTATCTCTTAAATTAAAAAATAAAATTAAATAATGATGATTAAAAAAAAAAAACAAACAGGCCCATTGTGAAGAAAAGGCCAGGACTAAAGCAGAGACCAAACAGGAAGATGTGAGAACAGTATCTGGCACCTGATCTAGAACAGTGGTCGCACGAACAGAGAAGATCGGA